TGCCTCAAGGTCTGATGAAGACTTCACGTGTTGAAGTCACAGATAACATCTGTGTTACTGTACTCTGAGCCTTTGGAGCACTGGGAGATAGTGGGGAAACTGAAACCAGAAAACAGCTCTGTAAGTGAGGAATTCTTCATAAAAGGGAAGTTAACAGCACATTTAGCTTGTGCATTGTATGCTTGCTTCACTTTAATATGGGAATGCTCAAGACCTCATAACAAAGGCTGTAGTGAAAGGCAGTTAACTAATCATTATGAAGTCTTTTATCTATTATAAACTAAATGATTCATAAGCACTTTTAAACTTGTTTTCACAAGGACCCATCAGACAGAACGTGTTCCCGGTTGTGATGTTGTAGGTCCAAAAAAAGAGACCAACATAAAAAGCTCCTCATTTTTAATCTGTGATTAGATACCCTGGACCTAATTTTCAGGCTGCTTAGCCCCATACAGTCAGATGTTCATGATGCCTCCCCAGTGACTTCAGATGAATTTGGGCTCAGCATCTCTGAAAATGAGAAAATGAAATGTGGAAATACAATTGCACTATTCCCTCAAAATTAGAATACAGACTTTGTGCCCATGAACAGACTGGTTCAAATCATTTGCTCAGCATCATGCAAGAATTCTTTGGCAGAGCTAAAATCTTCCTGGTTGGCATTTGGGTACTTTTGCTCTAATATTCCCCCTCTATTCCTTCTTTCTTGACTGCATACTTTGCAACAGATAAGGATTCATGCAGACAAATCAGGTGTTCATGTGATAAGGCTACAGCGATCCCCAAAATATGGACATCCTGAGAAATCAGACCATGCAGTCTGTTTCTAAGAAGCAAGCCTGCTCAAGGTGGCTCTTCAACTTGCAGGAAGTTGGTCTGCAATTAGAAGAATGATGACTCGTGTCCTGTGGTGCCATCACCAGGGTTTCTCCAGGGTTTAACCACTCTAATAGTGAAGAGTATTTTCATGCATGTTCCTGTTGAACAAGTGATTTTTCATTTTATGGGTCCTGTAAACTCAATTCCAGTTTTGTTGGATTTGTCCTGCGTCCAACCTCCAGCATTCATTTCACCTTCTCCAACATTTCCCTCTTGCAGTCTTTACATGGCAGATTCGCCCCTTCTACCCTTGGTAAAGGGGACATCTTTATCCTTCTGGATCATTTCAGGGGTCCATTGCAAACCCAGGGGACAGGTACTGTTTCTGTGTCGCCCACAGTTCAGCTGTCAGCCTAAAGAAATTCATAGTGCTAATTGTCTGGCTAATCCTGCTTAGTTCCAGTCTGAGTAAACCCCATGTATTATGGAATTTAACAGCTGATATATCTGCTGATCACATGTAAACTGTGGTTATCCCTTCTCCTTTGCTCCTTCTCCACTCCTCCAAGCTTATCATTCCCCTGGCTTGTGGGGTGGCAAGAAAACTCTTTGTAGGGACTCTCCCCACACCTTTGCCCACAGCCTTACACCTTTGCTCAACCAGAGCTTAAGCCCTCTTTGGCAGGGTACATGTAGGTTTTTATCCCCCCACTCAGTGAAGGCTTCTGGATGCACAGCCTGGTCATGGAGGTGCTCTGAGGATCAGGAAGCATGGGCAAAGAATCAGGAAGGAACTAAGCCAAAGTTTCCACCCTCTTCATGGTCTGGTTTTGTATGATATTCTGTATTGGTCAGTAGTATTCAAATGGAGGTGGCCCTTTTTGCTGGCTGATGTTACATGCAGTCTAGGGGGGACCCACGCTTAAAATCAGACCTTGAAATGGTTACCCAACAAGCACTTAAATATGGATTTGCCCATTGGTCTTCTGAGCCTGGTTGGTAAGGATCCCAAAGTTCTCTGAGGCACTTTGTGGGCATAAATTTGAAGCTTCTTTGTTTAAAAGTGAAAAGAATGTTGCTAATGCAGGGTCTGAGGTTGCAGAGCCAATTGGGAGGCAACTTAATGGGATAAGTATAGAACAACCACATTACTCGTTTGAGGCTGTGAAATTGGAGGGAAGTAGAATATTGGTCCTAAGTCAACAAATAAAAAGATGGGGGATTTTAAAGGTGAAATTAAAAGCCCTTTAGAAAGTGATTCACTGATGTACAGACTGGTGTGACATGCTGCAGTTGCAGTGTGTGGGAAACCAAGCCACTGCTTGGCACAGCACCTGTGGGTGGCATTTAAAGCCTGATAACCCACAGTCATTTGCACCATTGACTGGGATGCTGCCTTAGATATTGAAGGCTCTTTCCCATCATCCTCCACTTTTTTGAGGATTATAGTCATCATTTTACAACCCACATCTACAGAAGTATTACTTTGATAGCTATATGTCATCAGCACAGGTAAATCCAAACTGCTGTTGGGTTGAAGCAATGCATTTGAAATGATTAACCTACAAAATTGATTAATCCCCGACATAATCACTTCATGCCTCTGTTTGCCATCACTTCTGTCCCTTTTTTCCCCCTGAAGTTGTGTATATCTCATCCAAAGGCAGTTGTCTTTTCCTCATTTTACATATTTACACACAGGCTGCATAGGACATGATGATACAAGCTCAAAAAGGAGAGTTAGCTCAGCAGAGCAGCTTTTCTTTCCTCTTTTTGAACGGCAGAGGTGTAAGAACACTTCTGTAGGAGCTTGTGGGTATAGGCAGCCAGTCAACATCTGTTCAGGGCCTGCCCTACTTTAAAACTAAATTTGCCTGTTGCACTCAAACAGTGCTCAGCTCTCGGGTGTACCAGATGCTAGAAACTATGGGGAAACAGAGGAAAAATAGATGGTACAAATTCTGTGTGTGTGCTCTCTTAGGGGAAGTGCTGCAACACCATTTTCTTGTCATGAGGAAAAGAAGGGTCAGTGGTATTTTGTGAATGAGCTCCAGTCCCAGCTGGGACATTCCCATTGCACTGGTTCAGCCGTGCATGTTTCCAGCCTCTGAAAGCTCACGTGGCACCCGTTTGGGTGTCAGTGAACCTGTGGCACAGTTAATCCATAGCCCCAATCTTCCAGCTATAAAGAGAACTTTTATACTCATTTAAAGGTTCAATCTTGTATTTCTGCTTAGTGTAGAGCTTGCTTTTCTTCTTTATGTTTCTCTTGTGCCGAGATAAAAATATGCTTCATTCTTGACTCCATTTTATTCATCCACTTGTTCCCCTGTGGTGGGTGCTGGGCCTGTCACTTGGCTTCTGGTGGTCTCATAGAGACTGCACCTTGGTACTGTGTTCAGCTCTGGGACCCCCAACACAACAGAGAAGTGAACCTGCTTGAGTGGGTCCAGAGGAGGCCGCAAGGATGCTGTGAGGGCTGGAGCAGCTCTGCTCTGGAGCCAGGCTGAGAGAGCTGGGCTGGTTCAGCCTGGAGAAGGCTCCGGGGAGAACTTAGAGCAGCTCCAGTGCCTAAAGGGGCTACAAGAAACCTGGAGAGGGGCTTTGGACAAGGGCCTGTAGGCACAGGACAAGGGGAAAGGCTTTAAACTGACAGAGTGGAGACTGATGAGCTCTGAGGCAGAAGCTCTTCCCTGTGAGGGTGCTGAGGTGCTGGCACAGGGTGCCCAGAGAAGCTGTGGCTGCCCCATCCCTGGCAGTGGTCAAGGCCAGGTTGGACACAGGGGCTTGGAGCAAGCTGCTCTAGTGGAAGGTGTCCCTGCCCGTGGCAGGAGGTTGGAGCTGGATGAGCTTTAAGGTCCCTTCCAACCCAAACCATTCCAGGATTCTGTGATTCTAAACTGTGATTCAACTTCCCTGTTTCATGAATGCCTGTTTACATAAAGGACTGTACTGGTGGTATTATATAGACAAGTGTTTCCTTCTTGCCTCAGACATGGCACTTGCATGAGCTAGTTTTTATTTATTCATGATAATGTCACTTCCATCAACTTTATTTGCACTTTAAAAGCCCCCACACTTAAGTATGTTTGCTTTAGAGTTGAACCTGTTGAACTCCTTTTTTCCTTGAAGTAGTATAGACTGACCTCACATATTGCTTTCTTGGAAATAGGTGAATGCTATATCTCTGAAATACTTCTAAAACTTCAACATTATTATACAATTAGACATCACTTTTGAAGGGGAATTGTGCGTTTAGCCTGTGGAGATAAGGCTTAGGCAATGTTTCTGCCTCCCTGTCTTCTTTGTGTGCTCCCTCCATAACTTTTAAATTGAGTTTGGCAACAGGTAGAGCTCTCAAGACAATTGTGTTTTTACAAATGTCATGAAAAATAGTAGAGAGAGGATAAATCCTATTAGGACTGGGCTGTACTGATGTCAGTGACTGTTAGGCGCTAGGGGATCCTAAAGGGTGAGACATGTAATGTACACCCTCTACAGAAAAGGCTTTGGCTAGAGCTTGTATCTCCCTAGTCAGGTACCTGCTGTCAGTCAGAAGACATGAATATGTAACCAGGCTGCCTTACTTACAGTACTTAAAAACGAGCCTGGTTTTAGATGACCTGAGCTATAGATGCTACCAGAGTAGACAGGCTTCCAACTGATTTGGAAATGGGATGGCATATATATACTCCCATTACTAAAAGACTAAAGTCTTAATGCAGTGGATGCTATTCCAGGTTTTCTAGTAAAATTCAGTCTTTGTAGGTTAAAGTAAAGCTTAGAGGCATTTAGCTCTTGCCTATATCTGAAGGTTAATTTGGATCAAGGTGGGGATCAAATGGACTTCTGATAAGTATAGTACTTTACTATGTGAGCTGTAGTTTGACCGTGTGTTATGTCTGTTTTACTTCATCTTCTTCCAGCTTTTCTGGAGTAACTCCCTTTGTTGACAAGTCTGCAGTTATTTAGTGCTGTCTGCTCAGTAATGGAAATACTTTATGTCAGAAAAATGGAGATTAGGCAGGTGATATTAAATTCTTTTAGTGACATCTTGCTGGTGATACCTTCAGGGTAATTTCTGGATGTTGCAGTTCATTAATATGGGTGGCAAAGCAGCTAATGCATAATTATGTGTTCTCTGTGCTTACATGGATGTTTTGTTTGTCCTTTTCTTCCAGGACTCCACTGTTGTGACTCCAATTATCCTCAGAACAGATCCGCAGGGATTTTTCTTTTACTGGACAGATCAAAATAAGGTAAGAGAAAAGCTTTCTGTTCCAAAATGGTTCTTTGTTTTCTGTGGTGTGATGGGCAGGAACCAGGAGGCTTGGCATGCCAGTCCTGGCACAGCAGACAAGCATTACATCAGTATACATTCCTCTGCTCTTCTGGGGAGCAAATGCAACAGGCCTGTGGCTCATCCCTGGCACACAAAACATGGAGAAATGGATGGAAGACTTGGTAATTTCCAGCCATGTTAATGATCCAATGGCCAGTGAGTTTATAATTGTCCTAGTTTACAGGCAGTGATCCATTTGGGATGCTGTTGTGGTTCGTAGTTGGCTTGTGGTTTCTCTGTGTTGCCTTTGTGTACTGAGGATTTTGGCTGAGGGCATGGCAGACCCAGAATGCCAGAGGTCAGAGCCCCCTTTGAATTCCTCTTCCTGAGCTGCTGCATGCTCCCTGGCCATGCCTGGTGGGACATGTCACTGGGTTTTTACTAATCCTTACTGGACACTTACTCCCTTCTAAAAACATTCCAGTATGCTTAGATCAGTGTTATGACTGGGGAGCTGTTAGGAAAGCTCATGGCCTGATTCATCGCTGTGTTACTGCAGTTTCATATCCATGTCACCCCTTGAAATCAGCACTGTCATGGTCTCCACTCCATGTTGTGACTGTGAAGCTGAACTGGGGTGAAAGAGTATCAGTACCCTGAGCAACTGGGTGCAGTTTGTTGCATAGACCATATCAGACATGTAATATAAAATCATTTGTAATTGTTAAAGCAAATCACTGTATCAAAACTAGGAACTGAATGAATTCCTCCTGTTTTTTTGCAGGTGGATTTTCAAGTATTTCAAAAGTGCTTGTACTGGTTCCCTGTTGAAAACAGTGTTAGAACTTGGTGGCACTTGAGCTTTGGCCTTGTGATGGAGTATATGCTGAAATGACTGAATAGGTACTTTTAGCATGCTGGCTGTGGAAATCTGATTTATGAGTTGTGTAGCTGTTTTGCAGGAGTTGATTTTATGTCTAGGTATCAGTGCAAAAATGGCTTGAGGAGTTAGCAACCCTTAAATGTGCAGGCTGAACAGGCAATTTGCTTTTACATTAGCTCATATTTATTTTCCTGTGTTTGCTTTTTTGAGGAGATGGAGCAAGTTTTGAGTCAGTGTATCTGGAAATCGTATCATGGATCACAATAATAATCTTGTCTTTGCTTGTGCTTGTGCAAGGTTGTGGTGCATGATAGTGGGTTCATCCATTGACAGTCCAGGGCTGTTAAACGGGAAGCTAAGTGAGGAAGCTGGAAGGCTGTGACTGGAGTAGCAACGCCAGAACACGGTGCAGTCATCTCCTTTGTTCCTTCCCTTCCATAAACTAATTGTATAAGCCGAAAAATACCAGCAAACCTTGTAATAATAAATGGAAACCCACAGTTGATTGGAGAGTTTATTTCACTTGTAATATGTTTGGCACTAAGACCTCCTTCAGTTTCCTACTGTTGTCTGTAAAAACAATGTCTTGAAGCAGTTCTGTGAAGGATAGCTATTTATAGAATTGTTCTCATATTCAGGAAAAAAAATGGATTTCTGATGCTCAGAGCATTTTTTTAAAGGTTGGATATTTGTACAAGAGACATAAGTGTCAGTTTGATTTTTCAACTTGCAAATCAAGCCTCTGGAAAGGGCAACAAAAGAGTTTTTTTTCTGGTTAATAATTCATGACAAGCAGGTGAAGCTTGTTTCTAACCCTCATGCGAGCAGTGTCTATTTAAAGAAAGTAAATAGATTCCTATTAGGGTGCTGATACCGCAAGGACTGGGAAGAAAATGCCACTTTCTGCTTTCGCAGACAATGGTTGGGTTCATGTTTATTGTGAAACAACAAATATATTTAAAGGAGGTTATGTATGAAATTCTCTTCATTTCCTTCTGTTTGTGTAAAGTGCTCCTGTGATGACAGTGGAACTGCTTGAAGAACTAATTCAGGATGATACAACCACTTTCTCTTTTTTTCTCCTAGTCATTGCTTTTAAGCAGTCGCTTTTGTCATAACCAGGGCCTGTTATTTGCAGCAACTGGAAAGGCAGATCTTGCTAAGCAAACTGATGAACTAAGAAGCATCCCGGTCAGTCACGTTTCCTGGGAGCTGACTTGTAGCAGGTGTGAGGATGAGGCATGAGTAGCATCTTTCCAGCCATTGGACTGTCCTGTTTGCCAGACACTGTGCAAAGCAGTAAATTAGTGCCTGGGTTATGGTATGGCTTTTACATTAGGAATCTGGCTCTGTTGGTTGCTGTTGCTTTAGCAGTAAAATTATACAAAAATTACATGAATCACTGAGGGGAAAATACTCCCCCCCCCCCCCCACTTCCCTGTGCTATATTTTAATTATCTTAGGGAACTGGTGGTTGTGGCTCTCCAGCTTTCTTTAACTTGTTGGCTGGTTGAGCTGCTTCTTGCAGTGTTCTTTTATTCTCTTCTGTTTCTTCTCTCTTGCAGAGAAAAGGAAATAATACATAATGTCTCCCTTCTAGCAGTGTTATCTGGCCAGTCATTTGGGTTGTTCTTTGTGTAGTTAGAGCTCCAAGTTCTTGGTAAAGCAGCATGTTCAGTGCAGCCCTCCATCAGTGTCACTGACCCCATCTTGTAGTTCTCCAGGAACCAGCAATCCTTGCAGGGTTTGCATCCCAGTTGGTGGGTTTGGATGATGCTGAAGCTGAACACGTCAAATGCTGGAGTTGATGGGTCAACGAGGCTGCCAATCATAGAATCATAGAATAGTTAGGGTTGGAAAGGACCTTAAGGTCATCTAGTTCCAACCCCCCTGCCATGGGCAGGGACACCAATCAAGTTATTTTTACCAAGATGTTTTATATATGTGACCAATGTGGGCTCTTGACTTGCTGTCCCCTGTAGCTTTCTGTTAAATAATAGCAGCTTTCATAGGTTGCTTGCAGGAGCCATATGCTCCTATTAAATCATCTTATGTTTGTAGTTTCAACCCCATGAAGATCCATGCCACTTACACCACACATGAAAGACTGTAATGATCATAGTTATCATAGCATGGTTTGGGTTGACAGGGACCTCAAAGCTCCTCCAGTTTCAACCTCCTGCCACAGGCAGGGACACCTTTCACTAGAGCAGGTTGCTCCAAGCCCTTGTGTCCAACCTGGCCTTGAACACTGCCAGGGATGGGGCAGCCACAGCTTCTCTGGGCACCCTGTGCCAGTGCTTCACCACCCAGTGGCAGCCAGGCTTAGTGGGGCTATCTTCTCATCACTTCTATGAGCAGGAACAGAACTTGGAAAGGAGGCAAGCTGAAGAGGGGAAGAACCATCTGACTACAGTTGCCATCTGACTACTTGCAGGGAAGGCAAACTAACTGCTTTAGACTTCTCCAATGCAAATTAAGTACCCCTATGCTGTGCTCATTTCTTCATGACCATGTGTCGTTTGACTAATTGCTTATGTTTCAGCTGGCTCAGGTGTGTCCTGCAGTGTCCTACAGCCCAGCACAGCTGCTTTGGGCATCAGCAAGAGCTGTATTACAGAGTGGTTGATCAGACTCCTGTTTGAATGACATTATCAGCAGAGCAAACAGCAGCCTAGGATGAGAATGCACACAGGTTCTTCTGACCAAGTCTTTCTCTTTGGTTGTGTTCACTTCACAGCCTGACCTTCACAGCTATGACCATACTGGTGAAGGTCTGCTGAGCAAGTTCGTTTAAACTCCAGTCTTACAACGTGATAAGAATAATGTGGTATCCCACGTTTCAACATGCTTACTATGTATTTTGCTTATTTGAGTATCTTTTGCTCTCACCAGTAAAGATAATCCTCCAAAATAAAGCATTTTGCTCTTTTTTGGTAACCAAAAGGATACAGAAAACTTGTTTTAAACAGATGGCAGGACAGCATCTGATTTTCATTGTACTTCTCAGGATGAAATCCTTTTGTTGCTGAAGGTTCTGGAATATCTGCTTTGTCTGTATGCAGAGTGTGGCTGATTTCATAATATTACTTGAATGATTCTCAATGTGGGTTCTAAAAAGGAAAAAGTAATTAATGTGACAAGCTGGTGTATGTTACATATCTTATTGTTTCTGTAATGTTTCTCAACTATAGCAAAACCAGACAATATTCACTGTCATGGTTTTATGACCTGACTACAACAGATCTCAATTCCTTGCTACTACTTCTTTTCAAATGCAATGTCATTTCTTCCCCTTGTTCTTATTCTGGTCATGAGCATTGGAGAAAGAGAAATCAAAATACGACCAGGTGAAGAGAAAGTCAACTCGAACAAAAAGAAGAGATAATCAAAAGCATTTCTTGGGAGATGAGAAGAGGCTGGAAGCATTTGGTGTATTTAGCCTAGCTAGCAAAGCCAAGCCAGGGACAGACTGTGAGTTCTGTCTATGAATAAATACATCAACGGATGCATAGGCAGAGTAGGAGAGGAAATGTGTGTTGTCAGACAGTTTGCACATTATTATTCTTGCATCCTTTAGCTGGAAGTTATGTTACACAATCAAATGGATGTTAGAAGACAGCCCTTGACTCAGTGCTGTTCTGACACTGACGAAGAGACAGTAAAAGAAGGAAAACAACTAATTGAATTGTTTTGATGGTGGAGCCATTTAGGTTTTTGGAAGTCTGAGGGCGGTACAATATGCTGTCCTTTGCATCTCAGTAGTGCCTACTGATACATTCCTCTTTATTTTTAAAGCTTGACATGGCAGCATGCTGAGAACACAGGATGCAGACCCAGTCTCATCCCCAACACCATGAAAGAGGTCACCTAACAGTCAGTGTGTTGAAACTAACCATAAGTGTTCTGTCCTAGGGAGTCAACTGGGATTTCTAATGCCTTGTGCAGAAATGTTGTTGTAAACAGATGATGATCCAAAGGAAGTTTTTCTTGAGAAACTACTGCAAGTGTTGAGGTGATACTTACTCCATAGGATGGGGTGTGCGGCTGAAGCCATTTGCCATTTGCAATTGGAGCAGTAGCACAGCCCAAAT